AACAATAGCACTAACAATAAATAATAGCAGCCACAGCCGCAGCAATAGCAATAGCAACACAAACACAACTCAAGTAGGCATAATCGTATAATGTATGAGTCCGTCCATTAGAGCATTCATATAAGTTTCTCTGTAATACAAAGATAATATACACATATACACCCATATATACACGGGTATAACTTATATGAAGCACAGCAAGACTATATAGTTGGTATTGCTATTAAATTTGCCGTTAGTGAGTGTTTCTCACAACAATAGTGAAATTACTACAATCGGTCGTTACGATAACCCACTACATGCAACTACAAAATAAAAATATTGCAGGGCGTATGATTAACATAAATATACACAAATTTTAACTATATCTACATTCAAAATATGCATTTGTACAAGAATAGAGTTTATATCTTTTTAACGTTTAAGCTATTTACCCTATAATTGGTATTTTTTATAATTATATGAAGATCATAAAACGAAAGTTAACATATAACCACATTTAATTTAAATATTAATAATAATTATACTATTAATTACACAAAAAACTAAAAATATAACTATCGTTTTTCTTTTATTATGAAACTTTAAAGAAAAATATGAAACTAACTATATATTATTTATTATATATATTAGCATATAAAATATATAAAAAAAATTAATAAAATAAAATAAAATAATTGAAAAATAATCACATTTCTATTAAAAAATAAAATTAAAAATTAATTATGTACATAAATAATATATTATAAAGGAAATACATAACAATAATATATAATTATATTTTATATTATAATTACTTTATATATATGTATATTATATTGATATAATATTATATTTATATTAATATTTACAAAATTAAAATTATCCACAAATAATATCAGAAATTTATTATACTTTCAATGATGAATGAAATTATCCCATTTTATAATTAATATATATTATCAGTAATGTAAATAATTTGTTATAAAAATTAATATATAGTTATATATATATCAGTCATGTTAATAATTTGTTATAAAAATTAATATATAGTTAAAATATATAACACAAACTATTAGGTGTAATTTTTTATTTAAAAAAACATTTTTTATAATTTTATGTGTTAAATAAACGACCTAAGCCCTGTAATAATCATAAAAAATAATATATAATTCGTCATCATAAAAAAATCATAAACAAAAAATAAACAATATTCAAAAATAAGTATATTTTTATAAAGAAATATAAATATTTTATTTAATAAAATATTTAGACAATATTTTATTACTTAGGTTAGGTTATATATAAAATATATATAAAATGAATATAATTAGCAAATGAGTCAGCAATTGTAGACACTAAAAATATCCCAATAACTCAATAATTTATTACTACCATTAATTTAATAATATCCATAGTTGAATAATAATAATAATGTAATGATAGCATTAATTTTATAACAACAATAATTTTATAATAACAATAATTTAATTATAACAATAATTTAATTATAACAGTCATTTAATTATAACAATAATTTAATTATAACAATCACTTAATTATAACAATAATTCAGCTATAACAATAATTTAATTATAACAATAATTGCACATTTAAATCAGAAATACTGAACAATACTTTTTACATTGTAGTAATGAAAAAATAAAATGCATAAAAGTAATCAAAAAATGATGATAAAAGCAACCAAAACATAAAATAATATTTTATATTTATTACTAAAACTAATAAAAATTGAAATGAAACGTATTCAAAATAAGAAATTGAATTAAAGGTAAATTACTTGTTGCAAACTTAAATTATTTTAGTTATGCAAATTTTTCCTTTTCTTATTTTTATTACGTTTCATTTTAATTTTTATTAGTTTTATTTTATGTTTGTTATATTGTTTTTAAATATAATTAAATATAATATAATTTTTTTTTGTTTTATCATTATTTTTTAGTTGCTAATATACGTAATTACGTATAACGTAATACCATTACCATTACGATATTAAAAATTTAAATTAAATAGTAAATTATTTAAAAATAATTAATATTTAATATGGTTTTACTAAAATAATATATAATAGAGGTTTCGAACTGTAGTGGATTACAACAACAAAAATTTTCTTAATTATGTTAATTAATTGAATTTTTGATACTTAATACTTGAAGTTCCAAAAAATTATTTACAAATAATTAAATATAAGAAATAATTCCAAACCTACTTATGATGGGTATTTAGCAATACTTGAAACAGTTGTATAGTCGGTGAAAATTTTAACTAATTAAAATAATAAAAAAATTCTTTGTTGTAGTTCACTACTGTTTTAAACCTCTCTATTAAATATAATAGTTTCTATTAAGTAAAATAGTCACCATCATCATGACTGACGTTAAAAATGTTATTTATTTACATAAAATGAAATATTAAATATGATATTAAATATTGAAAAACGAAATTGCACTCATATGTATTGTTAGCTAATAAATTTATAAAATCTTTGAAAAAATAAAAATTAATATTTCGTTAAATTATTATCATCATCATTAATAAAAACAATTTGTATATTATATTGTTATTGATAGTGTTAAAAAATATTCCACACCTAATAGATTGTCTTGTCTAAAGTATAATAATAACAAAAATGCTTTGAATTCAAATGAGAATAATCATAATAATTTTATTAATTTTAAAAATACAGTATGCAAACTGAAATAAAATACACAACACAGTCTGATTTGTTTTTATAAAATATACACAATTACTTACAGTAATTGTAATTAACCAAACTAATTCATATAAATTATTTTTATTAACATATTTTAACTAAATAAATAAATAATAATAAATAATAAATAAATAATAAATTATTTAAAAATTATATTTATTTTAAATTATATTAAATTATTATTAAACTATTCTGTTTTAACATTAAATAAAAATTAAATTCAATCATTGTGGGTTTAGCGTTTAGCATGAGTTTATATACGAGTTATGAACTATATATCACATAAAATATAGAACCATATAGATTTATGACTTTGTGCTCGATTTTAAACCTTTTGAATTAAAACAGAAACAAATTTATATCTGGTGTGCTAAATTTATTCACAAAGATTTTAATTTATTATAAATTTAGTTTAAGAAAACCTATAGTCAATATGAAGAAATCACAAGAAATATATCTGTGAAATTATTAGCTGATCAACTATGGTAACAAAGTATGAATAAATATGAATACTCCGAGTATATTTTTATTTATTTTAAAATTATTATTTAAAAATATAATACATAACATATTTATCAAAACAGGAAAACATAAACATTTTATCATATCCATTTGCCTCTTTGTTTACCAAATGAACTGTCTGAGTATTAATTAATTTTGTGAATGCACATTTTGTAAAAATGAATATATTTCAGCAAATATTCTGATGGGCTATTGTTTATGATGCAATTTAAAAACCAAATAATAATATTAATTGTATAAAAATTATAAAATAAATTTAAATTGATTTAATAGTAGTAGTAAGTTATTTTATTTACGATTATTAAATTATAACATATTAACAGAAATTTTATTATTTAACTTATTTTAACTACAGAACTACAGATTATTTAAGACAATAACAATAAGTTGTCTGTCTATAACTATTAAGTTTAAAGCCGATTCGAACACAGTCCTAATAATAAATAATATAATGCTATAATAACGAGAAAATTCAAAAAATTCAGCCAATTCAGAAAAGCAATAAAAGGATATGAGTATAAAATAAATAATATAGTTATGTGATTATAGTATATTTTAATTTAATGTTATAATTATATAATAAAAAATAAAAAAAAAAACAAAAATATATATTAATAATGATGAATAATATATGTATAACTATAACTGATTTAATACATAATCGCTTTAATAAAAAATTTCTCAAGAATGCATTTATTAATTTTTGAAAAAATTAATTAAAAACAAAAATGGATTTATTTTTCCAATAATTTAATAAAATAAATATTATGTCTATCTAAAGAATTATATATGCCAACTCGACAGCTGTACTTTATTTGCCAGTTAATGCTAAGTTTGAGACTGGGACAGCATAAACGTACGCGCCTCTTTGGAGACTCAATAATTTTCATTTCATTTAGCTCTTTGCTGATTGCTGTTTATTTATGCTTTAGTATTATTCCTTTTAAGCACAAGTTTTATTTGCGCTTTTCGGTTTTTATTTCTTAATGGAATTGTTCAGTTCAACATTGTTACAAGATACTCGTGGCTCTAGAATGTGACAAATCAATTTGGGTAACATTTCTATAAATTGACGTTTTGTTGACCTACGCAAGTTTAAAACTTAATGAGCGACAACAAAGCAATTACTGCAAAAAAGTTTTAAAACAAAACAATACAAAGAATAAACAAAAAAAAAAGTTTTGGAAGACAAGTATTATTGTGGCCTTGCAATAAAAATTTTTTCTTACGGCCTACATTTTTTTTCTACCCATAAACTGTCTCTCGTTATTACTCGTACTCTTTGCAGGCACAAATGTTTATGTCGAAAAATCTGTGCTAAATGTTTTGCGAAAATGTACAAGAACTTGTAAGGTTGAATTACGACAACCGTAATAAGTGATTTTGCACACACATACACGCATACACACATACATTAGATGAAAGAATATGTAAGTGTGTTGTGTGGCATAAGTCGTACCACTTGGCGTATGATTAATATTAATTATTCAATTAATGAAATTACCACGAATGTTGTGCGTTAAATTGACAGTGCTGATTAAGGTTTACGGAAGAGCAAAGTATTGCTTAAATCATTTTCATAAATCAAAAAATAACGACATGACTTAAATTGTCTTAAGAGTAATTGAATATTGCATTAATGACAAAAGTATTAAAGAACA